GACAATTATGTGTCTTAAGAGCTGCCTTCTCAAGAGCATCTTTGTGCATTCTCTGCATTTCCTGAATTCAAATGTTGGGCCTGCCTTACTAGTTAAAGTCTCCTGGAGCCGATATCCTGAGTAAGTCTGAACCTATCCATTTTCCTGCCACTTGTGCACACCAACTGGGTGATGTGGATTTGATCTTTTCACATAATCCCATATTGTTGGAGGCCTTTATCAGCCTTTTACTCTTTCACTTCTCTTCTCACTTCATTTCATTCATTTTATCTTCAATCGCTGATACTCTTCTCTTCCAGATGACTTGAGCCAAGTTACTGAAGCTCTGTGTATCTATTACGCAGTTCTCGTGGAAACATGGATTTCATTTATCAGTTCTTAATGACTTCTCTAGCATCAAGGTCTGTGCTAGCCATTCGGGAAAATCTTTTTTCAAGGTTTTTGGCTTCTTTAAATTGGTTATGTAGTTCCTCCTTTAGCCTGAGAAGTTTGATCACTTGAAGCCTTCTTCTCTCAACTCATCAGTTACCCTCCATCCAGCTTTTGTTCATGCTGGTGATGAGCTGCATTCCTTTGAGGGGAGATGTACTCTGATTCTTTTGAAATTCCTGCTTTTCTGTACTGCCACCCCCATCTTTGTGGTTTGATCTGCCTTGGCTCTAGATGACAGTATACACGATGGGGGTTTTGGTGGTGTCTTTCTGTTTATTAGTTTCCTTCTAACTGTCAGGATCAGCTGTAGGAAGGTCTGTTGGAGTTTGCTTGGGGTCCACTCTATACCCTGTTTGCCTGGGGTACTGCAAGGAGACTGCAGAAGATAGAATATTGTTGAACAGTGAGGCTGTTTGATCTTGCCTGGAAGTCGTATCTCAGGAACACCGTGTGAGGTGAGGTGTTGGTCTGCACCTAGTGGGAAGGTCTCCAGTTAGCTACCCAGGGATCAGGGACCCACTTGAGCAGGCTGTCTGTCTGTTCTAGATGTCAACTCTGCTGAGATCCACTGCTCTCTTCAAAGTTATCAGACAGGGGTACGCATTTCAAGTGAGGTTCTGCTGCTTTTTGTTTAGCTGTGACCTGTCCTCAGAGGAGGAGCTCAGAAGCAGGCCGCCTCTGAGCTGTGTGACTCCACCACCGAGCTTCCTTGGTGGCTTTGTTTGCCTGCTTGCTTCCCACCAATGGTGTGCCTCTTCCTGCCTCGCTGGGCCGCCCTGCAGTTAGATCTGACTGCTGTAAAGCAGTACCCAGGAGGTCTCCATGGGAGGAGACGCCTGGGCCACGGTGGATATAACTTTCGAGTGTGCCAAGACCTTGGTAAAGTGCAGTGATTTGGTGGGAGTTATCCTGATTTTCCAGGTGTTTTGTGTCTCTATTTTCCTAATAGGAAAAGGAATCTACTTCCCCATTTGCTATCTACAGGTGAGGCGATGCCTCGCCTCTGATTCAGCTGTTGCTGTTCGGCTGTACCGACAGACCAGAACTAATCAAAGCACCACCATGAGACAAGTCCCAGACCTTGTGCTGAAATGTAGAATCACCCAGATTCTGTGTCACTCACGGGGGAGCTGGAGGCTGGAGTTGTTCTTATTCAGCCATCATGGGTGTGCCTATGGACATTTTAAAAAGCACCTTATCGCACAGAGACAAAAAGGATGAATATATCAAATACAAAAGTGGATGGGAAGTATACTAGGTGCGCCCAGCCAGGAGAAAAGAACCAAAGCAGATTTTTAAGTATTGGATGTTTGATCTAAATAATTGGTTATACATGTGATCAGTTACACGGATGAATAGCTGGGCTATGGAAAGGAGATAAGGCAACCCAGCTTAGGCTGGCAGGAAGAGATTCGCTCCAAGGAAGAAGGACAAAGAGGGGGTGCTGGCTCCCCAACCGGTGGAAGCCGGCTGGTAGAGATGGTGAATCAAGGTGGAGGCTGCCTAGAAAAAGCTGGGCCCACAGAGGAATGTGCTTTCTACTGGCATGCCACTCAAGGTCAAGAGACAGAAGAGTGAGAGAAATGCCTGACTCTTTTCCTTCTCCAGCCCCCTTCAAGCCCTAACAGTACTTCTCTCAATGAGCAAACCTAGGGAAGTTATAACATGGCAAGGAAGCCTGGAATGAGGTGTACCCTGGAGCCCCCAATCAGGAGGTGAGGGGACTCAACAATTTAGATAGGCATTTTGCCTCTGGAGAGGTAGTCAGGGGAATGTGCACAAAGTGGTCCTTGACTTTACTGGTAACCCCTAATTTCTTTAATTTTTAAAGGTTTGGAGACAATATAAAATGTTAGCATTTGTTTTTGTTTTGTTTTGAGACAGAGTCTCTTCTGTCACCCAGGCTGGAGTGCAGTGGTGCAAGGCTGGCTCACTGCAAACTCCACCTCCTGGGTTCAAGCAACCCTCCCACTTCAGCCTCTCTAGTAGCTGACCATAAAAAAGACCACTACACCCGGCTAATCTGCTAACATTATAATGTGGGTGACCAGAGGCTCATTACTTTATTTCTGTATACCTTCTCATATAGTTGGAACACTTTACAAGAAGTGATTATTATAGGACAAACAGAAATGTTCCAGATTAACGGCAACAGTAAGTATCTTTTATTGTATTTCAAATTCTACTTCCTAAGGAAATGTTATATCTCCCTTAGTGAACAGTAGCATCATTGTGGAGTTTGCAGGCTGAAGCATTGACTTTGGCATGATGGGTGTATTGAAGACAAGGGGTGGGAGAGCAAGACAGGGAATGAGTGGAGACAGGCAACAGAGGAAAGGTGGCAGAAAAGACTCCAGGAGGAAGAGCATGACCATCGACGCTGTGAGCCTCCCAGAGCCTGCCTGCCTTGGAAACGTGGGTTCAGTCACTGGCTTAATGTGGCCTTGATGTCTCTCTCCCTCTCTCTCCTAAGATGTTAAGACTGCCTGGCCTCAGAGGGGTCATTTTGAGATTCAGTGACTTCCCACAGGAAAACACTCTCACGTTGTGTGGGGAACATAGTCCACCTCAATCCATCTTGCTACCATCATTATTGTTTATTATTGATTCTTACATCCTCAGTGTTGGTAGAGTTTCTGTGCTTAACAAACATTTGTTCAGATCAGAGAAGAGGAAAAGATTGTCATCTGCTTATTCAAGCCATGTTTTTCTGTGATATTCTGATCCTAGTTGCACATACAGAAATACATGTCTAAACAGCACCGATTCTGGTCTACAGCAGGACGAAGTTCACTGTGATCTCAGATAAGCTTGGCTAAAATAGGACGTGAGTGGAGATAGTCACACTTCAACGAAGAAAGAGAATCCTGTGTTAATGTCACTGAGATCTTAACCTCAATATTCTGCATGGTAGGGTATCTCCTTAAAATGAGAGGATCTGCAGAAACAAAAAAAGAGACAAACCGTGATCCATCACAACTCTTGCTGAGAAGGTATTCTTCCTCTGTGGACTCTATGGTATCTGTGCTCTCTCAGCCTCCTGCAAGAACACAAGAAGGGTGCTCACACCTTGACCTCTCAAACCAATACTTATGGGCTTCTGCTAGGAAGGAGGACAGAGCAGTATCAGGCATGGGAAATAACTCGAATGATAACTCATGGTAAGCCTGGTGTCAGGTGAGGCAACTGGATAAGTCTTGTCCTAATCCACTGTCACAACATCACAGAGCCAGGAAAAAGAACAGCAGAAATTGACAGCTTGGGGATTGTTATGAGTATTAAAATGATAATAGCACCGCAGAGGGCTCAGGACCCTGGCACATTCTCAGCTAAGGCTCCAATGGATGTTAGCCACACACATTATCATCCTACTTATATGTAAAAGAAACCAACTAGGGTAAACTAGAAATTTATCCAATGTCACACAGCCATGAAACCAGTGTTAGATGGATCCAGGTCAGGTGGACTTACTTCTGAGCCACTAGCCCATTGACTCCACCGAAATGATGCTCATTGAAGGTCAGTGGTCTAGCTTGGGGAGAGTCCCATTTTATGTCTACCCTGCCTTTACACTAAGCAGCTGCTACTTGTTAAAACACTGATAAAATAAGCCATTATAAGATGAGGGAAAATAGCCACGGTGGATACAGCAGGGAGGATAGATATGGAATATCATGATAAAGCAAGCTGTGCTTGAGATAATGGAAACCATTTTTAAAAGCTGAAATATCATTTTGGCTATAGAAACATTGAAGAAATTTAAATTGTCATTGAATTACAGACCTCAAGTAATAAAATGCCAGACAACTCTCTTTGATATATTTAATTAGACACATTAATCGAGGCATGATTGTAAAGAGAGAGATGATTTAGGATTCCACTCTAGCCAGAGTGAAAACTTTCTTTCAACCACATATCTGAGATTTAAAGTAAGTTACCACTTCTCCCTTTAAGAGGCATTTGAGATTATTTAATCCAGCCTTCGGCCTTCTTCCTTGAATGCTCTAAACACAATCCCACCTCAGGACCTTGGCACTGGCTGTTATCAATGCCAAGAATGCTCTTCCTCTAAATATGCATATGGCATATCCTCACAGCAAATCCTCCTTGACTCCACTCCGTATGAAGGATCCCGTCTCCCACTACCACCCCACCACTTCCTATCCACTTTGCCCTACTTTTATTTTTCTGTCTGTGCATTTGTTACTGTCACATGTATTTTGAGTTGATTTATTTCTGTTCTGTCTTCTTCCTCCCCTCCCCCTAGTACGGAGACACAGCAGCTTTGCACAGTATGACAACCCAAGTATCTAGGAAAGTGCCTGGGTACATAGAGGGCCACTAGATATTTATTGAATGCAGGAATAAATGAATGCTCGCCTCCTGCCTATTGACAACACACCTTGTGTTACAATTTAGCCTACATCCAGAAATTCAGACAATGAGCAGCAATTAGAGATGTGTCCTCAGTGATTCCCAGCAATTTAATTTAACTTTCAAACTGCCCAAAATTGTATTTGGAAGACATGTAAGTAGTCCCAGCAGCCTCTAATTCTTCCAACCTCTACCAGTTTAGAAAACTCCTGCAATGCCCAGTTAACTCCATGCCACTTACTGCAAACCGGTGCAGGCCTCCAGTTTCTGCTGAAGCTGAGGATGGTTGCCATCTCCTCATCACTCAATTTAAAGTCAAAGACCTGGAAAGATATGGGAATCTGCAGTACACCATCAGTAAGGTCCATTACTGCTGTGATGAAGACTGTCAGCCATTCTAGCAGGGAGTTCTAGCAGCACAAACTGATCACAGGTGTTTTCCCATTGCGTCCACGGATACAAATTTTTCTCTAAATTAAGTCCTACACAAAGTCCGCAGTATTTGTAGTGCTCAGTGTCTCTGGGGGAGGAGACCAGCTCACAGGCACTAAGCCCTGTGTGTACAGGCCCCGTTCTCCATGATGTGCCCCTTCTAGAAGACAGTTCTCCAAGGACAGTCTACATCTCCTTCAAGGCCGGAAGAGTTACAGGGAGGACAGGACTGTCTGCTCATGTGGTGGCCTAGGGCTTAGGTGCTCAGGGGCAAATTGAGGGTCTTCTCAGTGGTGTGGGAGGTACAGCTGTGTCAGGACTCAACTTGGGCCTCACCAGGCACTGTCCCCAGCATGTCCTAAGCCCATGGGTCATCTCATCCTGTGTATACTGAGCCTAGATCCCTGGGCTGGGAAAATGATAGGGTGGGTGGGTCTGAGGGGGCCAAAGACAGCAGGAATGAGCTGAGAATCCTGGGTGAGAGGGTCTGCCTCTGCCCCACCCCACTGAGAAGTACCAGGGCCGACCAGCTGGGATCTTACCTGAATGTTCTCAACTACACGTGCCGGTGTCACAGACTTGGGGATCAAGTAACTTACATTCCTCTGGATATGGAAATGGATCAGAACCTGTGCGGAAAGGGGACATCATGTTTCCACTCAGCTACAAGGACCCTTCCTTTTATGGAAAGGAAGAATAAAACATCTCTGCAGCTCACTGTGGCTTCAGGTACAATCGCTGATACTGACTGAGCCCTTTGCAGCTATTAGTTTGTGCCAACCCCCGCCCGCTCCCTTCCTCTACCTTAGGGATAACCTGTGATCTTCATTTTTAGAATAAAGAGCAGTTTGATCATAAGGCTGATCAGAGGTAGAGGTTCAGATCTGTACCTATATCCCTGACTCCCCCCAAAGCCAGCGCTTTACGACTTGGCTGTAGGGGCTTAACAGGAAGCTGTGAGGCAGAAGCTATCTTTGTTTATGCCTTGGTGTTTCAAGGTTCCAACAGATTTAAGGAACACTTTAGGCTTCAGCTCCTGTGTTCTTCCCTTAAGGAATTAGTTGAGGACAACACAAGAAATGAAACATGAGACTGGAAAAAAGAGTTGTTAGATAACAAGAAAAATAAAAATATGGTACCTGGGCTGCAGTTTTCTTGTGCTTTGCAGCAATCTCCTTAATCTTGGGATCCTCCACAGGAAGGGGGTCTCATTTGGCCTCTAGAGGCAGAAAGATGCTGATGTGGAATAATCTCATGACTACTATGTAGAGATGGACACCACTCCAATGAGGGTCCTAAGATTGATCAGAGCCTCTCCATCTGGGAGACAGGCAGGAGAACCTGGAAGCTTGGGTCCTTCCTGCCGGGCTCTGAAGCCTCAGCATTTTGTGAAAGACTGGTTCATGCTTGGGGTGGCTGAACTGGAAATATTCCCGAGGGTCAAACATGTCACCCATGTTTTTGTTGTTGCTGTTGTTGCTTTTCAATTCCCATTTTTTCCCACAGTCATCCTATTTGGTTGTAGCAAACGATTACTTTGCTACACGTTTCCAGTGACTTATGGTCCTATACTATTTACTAAAGTATAAAAATAATGTTTGTAAAGATTATCAAGAGAAGGATCTGAGTGGCTTGGAAGCCTACCAAGGTTCATCCGGAGAGCCCAGGGGGCTGTGGTGGCCGTGAATGGTGATGCCTCGGAGTGGGCAGTACTGGATCAGTTTCTCCTATGAGGCACGGGTGACACTAACCTGCAACAGCAAAATGACCCTCATCATGGGGAAAGCCATTGGCTTTTTTGAGCTGGTCATAGGAGCTCCCACACAGACACCCAAAGACCACCAAGCAAAGGCCAAACATCTACCCACTGAGATTCTTGCTAACACACCCATGAGGTCAGCCCTGACCCTCAGGTGAGACTCCAGCGCATACTGGAATGTTCCTCCCAATGTTTAAGAATAGGGCAAGACTTTTATTTACCCGTATACTAAACAGAATTTACCTGGTTAGTCACTGGTTTATATTTCAGTCCGGGTTTGTTCAAGAGCTTCTCAATCTGGAAGTGGTTGAAATTGAGATGCCGATGGCCTCTACCAGCCCCCATCCACCAGCTCCTCCATGGCCTATCATAGAAAGGAAACTCTTTGGGCAGCCCCAGAGGGACTACAGGACCTTGGCTTCCTTAGTCTCCTGGATCTGAAATTGCTAAAGGATTCATCACAACAGCGTAGCCGAGCATTCACAGGAAATTTCAGTCCAGGCCTGGTGCCCATCAGTGAATGTTGGCAGTCCTACTACCTCCCCAGCCCCAGAAAACTAGGAGGCCAGGTAAGATTTATGACTTGCCACCACCTTGCTACAAGAAACACATCTAAAATTGTACTTGCACATTAGGGAAGCAGGAAAGTTTTGGAATGCAAAAAATAAAATAGATAAAAATGTTACCTGGGTAAGCCTATGAGATGATTTTATTTTAATGAATCCAAATGACAGCGGTAGCTACTGCTGTGTGTTCATTGTACACTCAAACCTGGGCAAGCTGTAGTTAGCTTGTAAAGAGGCTGCAGCATGGAGAAGCTCCTCACTTGTGGGTCCTGAGTCACTGTCTCCCACACCAAATCAAAGCTTAAGTTTGCAGGAAGGCTGCATATAGATTATGGGCACCTGGGCAGGGGCACCTGGGCAAGGAGTCGGTGGGGCTGAAACCTGACCCACCGTCTGCATATCCAGCCATGCTTCCCGGCAGAAACCACAGGACCCCAAGGAAGGGAATCTTTGTATTAACTTTTTAGCCTATATTGGGCATTTTCAAACTCTGCCCAAAGATACTGGTATATGCTAGCAGTAGCCTCCAATGCAACACGTATTTATTAGCCATCTATTACATGTTCCAGAAGTTGTCATGATGTAAAAGTATACGGTGTGCTTCTTCCTGGAATTTTATAGTCCAGTTAAAGTGCTAGGTTCCTTCTGTGGAATCATCAACCATGACACTGAGGTTGCCTTAGATAACATGGGACCGTGGGCATAGACAGACTTGTAGCTTGCAGAGAAGGAAGAGATCTATGACAGCCTGCAGCTGCTAGGGCAGACCTTCTGTGTAGAGTTTGAAGTGAGCCTGGGTGACAAACAAACAAACAAACAAAAACAGAGAGAGAGAGAAAAGAGGGGAAAAACATGAGCATATGAGACAGGAAGGCAATAGCAAAGCTCATAGTGCAGGGATGAACATGACATGTCTAGGGAACTCTTATCCAGCCCTTCTCAACTTCTATTGAACTTGAATCACCAGGAAGTTTAAAACTGCCGGATGCAGTGGTTCATGAGTGTAATCTCAGCACTTGGGGACAGGATTGGAACAGGGGTTTGGGCCTGAGTTTCAGCAACCCAGGTAAGTTTTTAATCCTTGTAGACCTTAGTATTCCCTTCTCAAAGAGTCTTATAATACATACTCAATAATATATATCTTCTGATACACATTATCAGGAGGCTGAGACAGGAGGATTGCTTGAGGCCGTGTGTTCGAGACCATCATGGGCAACATACCAAGACTCTGTGCCTATCAGAAAATTTTTTTAATTAGCTGATGTGTATGTGCCACTGATCCCAGCCACTTGGGGATTGCTTGAGCCCAGGAGTCCGAGGCTGCACTGGTGCTATGATGTTGCTGCCTGTACTGCAGCCTGGGCAACAGGAATAAGACTCTGTTCTCCAATTAAAAAAAAATATCATGGCTGTTTCACCCCCCAGAGTTTCTGGCAGATTTTATCTGAGTTATAGCTCAGATATTGTTGGGATTTGTAAATTCCTCAGGTGATTCTAATGCACAGCCAACATTGAGAACTACTAGCGTAGATTTGGGTTATTCAATTGGGTAGTAGGAGTTTAGTGCTTATGAAACCGCGAGGTCTCCCAAACTCGATTGAGCACCAGATAATTTGAAAAGCCATTGTACATCATAGGTCAGGGTTAGTTTGGGTTTGGGTTTTAACTTGACTTCGGTACTTTTTCCTCCGTCTGCTTTTAGGTGGTCAAATGAGGTTTCTGCTTGAACTGGCTGTGTGGGTCTACAGAAACATCCAGCGCTTTCTATATTCAAGCCTGTCTGCTTCAAATCAGGTTCTTGACCTTGATAACTGATATCTTTTCATGCCTTTGAAATGTTTTATTGAACAGCCAGCCCTCAGATTCATTCAGGAAAATACAGCACTGTGAGAAGGCAGGCCACTGAGCACATACTTGCCATACTTAACACATCACTCAGAGCCAAGGCAGAAAACTGATCAAAATGTAATGCAAACTGCCAGGTGTGTGGTTCACACCTGTAATCCGAGTACCTGGGAAGCCAGATGGGTGGATCCCCTGAGGTCAGGAGTTCAGACCAGTCTGGGTTAATATGAAACCTGTCTCTACTAAAATATAAAAGCAACCGAGTGTGGTGGTACACATGTAGTCCCAGCTACTCAGGAGGCTAAGGCAGAGAAATGGCTTGGGAATTTTATGAGGGATGCGTAAGTGGAGCCGGGAAAGACAGTCACCACTCCAGCCTGGGCGAAGGTATGAGACTCTGTCTTTAAAAAGAATGTTGTGTCGGGGATTAATGTGTTTGAACCAATAATACAGAAAAAGCCATTTAATTGAACTGCGTCACACCGAAGCATTTCAGAAAGGTGAGGCTTAATATATTTTTTCCTTTCTTAAATACAATACAAAACCCTAACCATATGCAACCTGGCTACAGACAGCCACTATACCATATTAACTTTATGTTACATTAAGTCAGGATGCCACTGATCATTTTTAACTGATTCCTCCACTTTGTTCTAACAGCATTCTGCAAAAGGATAGAATGGTATAATAAAATGATCAGAGAAACATTGATCCTTAATCTACTTGAAAGTGAATGATGTGAAACAGGGGCTGCGATTTGACTGGAAGCAGGGCACCAGGCCCCCTGATTTCTGATGTGTGTTCACTGCTCGAAGCACCACGCTGATGCTTTGGGTGGTTGGACTTGTGATTCAGTTGAGTCTGGGTCTAATCCCAGCTCCACATACATTGTGATATGACCTGTGCAAGCCAATCAATCTAGGCTTCAAATGTCATTATTTATAAAGGGGGATGTTAACCTCTACCATACGTTTAGATAATTAAATGGCTACTGTGACTTAATGTTTCTGCATGTAAAACCATCTTAGTCTTTATTGCACCCTCAAAATATATAGTAGTATGTTCAGGAAGACTTCTTTTTTAGGAAGAGAAACTGGCTCCCATAAGAGCTACAAAACTGACCCTAGTTACTCAGCTGCTATGAGCAAACCCAGACCTAAACCTCCGGCTCCAAATGGCCTGCTCTGGTTTGAGAACAGTATGTATTCCTGGAAGTGGTACATCGTTTCCATTCTTATTTGGAAGACTCAGTTCTGTGGATTGAAATCTAAGTATATCAGATGCACTGCAAGTGCCAAAGGGTGATGAGGAAGATATTAGAAGAGCTAGAGAATCATAATGATGAAATTAGAAAGCCATCAGTACACGGCCCTTTCTATGTCAATGGAAGTCTCATGGATAATCTGAAGATTTCTTCTCCTGAAGAACACTTACAGGAAGCTGGAACTTACCTCAGTCTCCAAGAACGCTAGTTTTCCACCGATGATATTACTCTTTACTGCCTCTTTGGGTTAAAACACCCAGACTGTAAACAGAATGAAAGTTTACTGGAATCTAACTAGGACACTGGTTCTGCAACAGTTTCAGGGTCCTGACTCTTGCTATACTCATATGCATACCAGTTTTTCAGGCTCTGCAGTACATACTACAAGAATGTGAGTTTAAATAAAATCTCTATATCTACTGTAGCATATTAATCCATATATTTTAGAAACCACTGGATTGACGCTCAGATCTGCTATGGTACATTCCAGAAGCAACGTGACAATGGATATTCACCATACACCCAGATCTTGTGTATACCCAAGGCAAACTTTCAAGCAACATTATCAATGGATAAGGATTAGATCTCCAGGTGTGGTTTTCAAAGATATTGGCCAGCTTCTATCTTTGCAGCCTCTAGAAGAGATATGGAAAGGGATGGCAGGCCAGCACTCCCCGCTGGTCAGAGGGGAGAGATTGGAAACTGTCTCTTCCCACCTCAGAGCAGGTAGACCAGAGCCCAGGCAATGGGAGCCGTGGATGACTACTGGCTTCCTTCCAGCATCACTGCATTTGGGCTTTTCTCCAAGATGCTACTCTCGGGGTATGCTTGCTTAATAAGATGAACAGCCCTAGAATATATTATAAGTGTAATCCAAGGATTTCCTGGGAGGGCAACTTGGGGCGCTAAATCACAAGACAAAGGTGATAGGGCAGTTGCAACTTGTCCGGGCTGCCAGAATCATGGCTTCTCTCAGACATAACTGCAAGAAAATGCAGGCATGGGCCACCTCAGCAGCACACACGGCCTCAGCCTCCTTCCACGCCTGTGCGTCTTTCTGCTCAAGGTCTCTTCCTGACCACCTGACACTTGGTACCAGGAAGTGCAAGGCTCTGCTCCAGTCCACACCATCCTTAGCTCCTGGTGCAGCTACTATTTTCTGACAGCTGCTCAGAAACTAGAGGCTGAGAAAGGGAGTCGTCACATACCTTGAACTTTCGTGGCCAGTGAATAAAGATAGAGGTCCAGATAGTCAGCCCAGGTCCTTGAGGGTCTTCTCCAGCTTCTCACAAGGGTCTCTGAAGAAAGGGGCCAATAATTTCAAGAGGCAGGAATGAGCTGTTAATATTTGGAGAAGTGAAGGCCACATTACCTGCATTGTCCCCGCCTTTTGATTTGCAATTTGGATCTAACCTGGCACAGGCCATTTATAACAAAGCTGATTAAGATCCACGACACAGTGTGGAATATCACCAGGGCCTGTAGTACACATCGACATGTCTTAAAGTGTTGTGCTAAATTTACTTTTTCAACTCTCCTAGTACTCTATATGTCTCTCAGATCATCGCATAAATGTAGCCACAGATTTGAAAATGTGTTTACCTGTCTCAGTCTCTTTGTCAGCTCGTGATTCTCTTGGAGAGCAGGACTTAGTGTAACTTTAAATGTCACATTTCTAGGCCTTCG